GCGCCTTGTGCCACGCCACGTGAGCAAGAGCGGACTGAGCCCCATGGCTGGTGCAGGGCGCGGGGCGGCTGGAGAATGACGGACCAGGACCCTGAATTGATTGCTCTCTCTCTCTCTCCGCCGGCTCTGCTCCTTTGCATCCGTTCCACCACATCGCCTCATCTAATTCGACTGCATGATCACGCGACCCTTAATCCATCATCCCTCCTCATCACGATGAACGGTCACTCGACGTCGCCGAAAAGCGTGCGACGTCGCAGAGGACGTAGTCGTGGCGGGTCCATCTCGTCGCTGGCCTCGGTGGACGACATCGAGCCGCTCCCGCCTGCGATTCCGACGATGCATGATGAGGCTTCCTCCTCTGCTCGAGTCGCTTCATCCTCATCCTCGACTTCGGCGTCAACTTCGCGCCATTCACTCAACGACACCGAGCATGCCATACCCGCCTCAGCACGATACGTGACCGTCTCCGCGATCCTGTCCCGCGCTGGCGTCCTCTACCCGACGGACTCCTCGTCCACCGACGGGCAGGACATCTTTGCTGTTCCTCCTCCTCCCTCATCATCATCTTCTCATCCTCGCAACGCGGAGAGGAGGCGACCCAGCGGCGGGACGAGCAGCGGTAATGCGCTCGAAGCGCTTGGCACGCTGCTCTTGCATCGAGACAGTAAAGGAAGGGCGTCGAGCCTCAGCTTCCAGAGATGGCAGCCAGACGGCGGTGAGCCTCCGTCGTCTCGACGCTTTTTACAGAGACTTCAGAAGGCGGGCAAAGCGACGTTGGGTCTGTACATCCCGCAGTATTCCTCCACGGACGACTCCCGTCCGACCACGCCCACTATCGCAGAGCGTCGTGCGAGCAAGCGCCGGCAAGAAGTCGGATCGAACGGCGCGGCGGACGAGGTGACATTCGTGACTGTCCGGACTCGCCGCAATCAGCCCTCGTTCGAAGTCTCACGCCCTTCAAGTCCTCGCATCTCCGGGTCATCATCCCTTGACGCTCACGCTCACGCTCACACGCGGATGCGGCTGAGTCGCTCTCAGTCGTACGGAATCGGCTCGACGTACGGCCTTCATGACCCACCTGAGGCGCCGCCCACTCCTTTGGGCATGCCGGGCGATTGGGCAGGGAGCAGAGGCGGGGGTAATGGCTCGACATCCTCGGGCGAAGAGGATATGGCCTTGCTCCTTCCTCCGCCTCTCCTGGATGACGCCGGGTCGGATCAGCGCAGTTTCGAAGGGCTGTTGGGGGTGCGCCGGGCGAAGGAGGCGGAGGAGGCCAGGAGGAGGTTGCAGAGGCTGGCAGCGCGTAATCGTCCGGCGCACAAGGTTGGCATGATGACTGCGTTGAGCAACTTTGTGAAGGCGGCGCATGCCGCTGATCAGGCGACAAAGGCGGCTGCGGCTGCGAAACGGCAAAGTAGCGGGACGAGGCCGAGTGTGGGCCCGCGAAGGCATACGGAGCCACCTCAACCATTGGAGAAGCGTAGGAAAAGGCCGGTCGTGGCGGAAGAGATGGAGGTACCGTCTCACGGCAGCAGCTCGCGACTTTTATCGACCAGCATGGACTCGAGTCGTAGCTCCATCGATGCAAGCCGAACACTCGAGACTGTCCCGGAGGACGACGCAGGGCTGTCAAAAACTCCCCTCTCGCAAGCTCCGCCACCCGTAGCAACCTCGCGCAGATCTTCTATCGCCCTACGAGATCGCGAGATGCCTAGCGCCCCGCGCCTCCTGCCTATCCAGGCCGCTATGCCCGAGACGCCCTTCTCGCCCCTTGCCAAGTCTAGCGCAGCAGCGAGCGTCAATGTCAGTCCTCCGGCCGATTACATCTCAGCGCGAGCGAGGCCCGGCTCAGCCTCCAACCCCAACCCGCCACCCGCTCCTCGATTAGCCGCAACGGTCCTCTCCCTCCCGCCCTCACCGTGGACTCCGCACGCCCACGCTCGCAGCGGCAGCTCCTCTCGAGATCAGTATCCCCTTTTCTCCCTCGCCCTTTCGAGCAACAGCGCCAGCAGCTCGCGAGACGTCTCCGAGCCGGGTACGCCACGTCTTGCCCCTACGCATCTTTCCTACCAGCCTTCGCCCTACCCGAGTGAGCCGGGAAGTCTCGTAGCCTCACCCAAGGCGCTCTCGGCCCTCGTTACATCACCCGAGGTATTGTCCGCGTCCACGCAGGAAGCGAGACAGCCTCTCACTCCATCGTCCGAGCCCGCGTCCGCGCCCGCACCCGCCTCGCCGCTAGCTCTTGAGCCGACCAAGCCCGACGTGGCCGCACCATCAGCATCGAGCTCGCCCCGATCCTTCCTCCTCTGGTGGCTCCTGGGGGACCTTGGCCTCAACGTGCAGCATCGCCTCCTCTCTCCTACGCGCACCTCCTCCTCTGCAGCGTCCCTCCCGCTCCTCACGCTCGGCTTCCTCACCTTCTGCCTCTCGCACCTCGTCGAGCTCGCCTACGAGGTAGCAGAAACCGCCGCGCTGACCTGGTGGTTTCTCCGCTGGCTTGCACTCAACCTCACGGGGAGGACTGTGCTGAGCCGCTGTGTGCTCGAGGCGTACGCCCTCATCCAGGCCGAGTGGACGCTCGTGGCCAAGGAGGACCACGAGGAGCGGGGCGAAAGAGAAAGGAAGGCAGATCCGCAACCACGGGGCTTGGCGAAGATTCAGGTGCTGCGCGGCTTCATCGAGCTCGTCTGCTTGCACGCCGTTACGAGGGAACAGTGGTTGCGCGAGGGGGCGGGCCTGAGGTTGACCGAGGGGTGGGACAGGGGCGTCGTGCCCGACGGCGGTGCGGAGGAAACGGAGGATGTAGGCGCTTCCGAGTCGGACTCGGACGAAGAGGAGAGCGATCTCGTCGTCACGCGGCGCGAGCGGGACATTCTCGAATTCACGCGCACCCCGCGGATACGACCGCAGGATGCACAGGGTAGTGGAAGCTACTTTCACCTCTCCTCCAGTCGCAAGCCCTCCTCCTCCTCCTCATCATCCTCCACGCGCTCCCTGATCCGCACCCTCAAATGGGCTTCACGCCTCGCCGTCGGCGCATATGGCCTGCACGTGCACATCGTCGACTTACCTCCCACCTTTACCCCCTCCGGGGAGCGCTTCAACCGTCAAACCTTCGCGCACCTGAGCCGGCTCAACGACCCGGAGGATGTGCTGCACGCGGATATCCAGCACCTCGGTGACGGAGTGGCAGCAGACGATGGCACGCCCCCGTACCAGCCGACATTCTACGTCGCTCGGGATCATGTACGCAAGACGATCGTGGTTGCCGTGAGGGGGACGCAGAGCTTCTCGGACATCATTGCGGATTTGGACATGAGGACTGAGCGCTTTCCACTCGCCGCTCACGATGAGGACGAGGGAGAGGAGGATGGGGAGGACGAGGGACAGGGCGAGCTCACCTGCCACGCGGGCGTGCTGCGTGCCTCCCAAGCTCTGCTGGCCCCAGGATCCACCCTCCTCTCAACGCTTAGCAGTGCCCTCTCCGACCACCCGGCGTACAGCCTCACCTTCACCGGCCACTCGCTGGGTGCGGCCATTGCCTCGTGTCTAGCCATGCTCCTTGGCCGCTTCGACGCCAAGACGGGTAGGTGGGTCATCGCGGAGCGCCAGGGCCCGGCGGGAGGAGACCTACCGCCGGGCAGAGGCGTTCGTGCAATCAGTTTTGCGCCGCCCGCGACCTTCTCTTCTTCCCTGGCCAGGAGGGCGAGCAAGGGTGGGGCAAGACCGCTCGTGCTGTCCGTTGTCCTTGGTGGTGATATCATACCGAGAGCGGGACATGGACAGGCCCGTGAGCTGCGCAGGGTGCTCGGGGCGCTAGCGCGGGTGAGGAGGAGACGGGGCGAGGGGGCCTCCGTAGATGGGAGGGAAGAGGAAGAAGAGGAAGACGCGGCTCGCGTCCACGTCTTTCGAAGCTGGTGGCGCTGGTCTCGCACCCACTCGTCGCAAGAGCGAAAGCGCATCGAGTCGCAGCTCTGGCGCTTACGCTGTGATGTCGAAGCGGACCTTTACTCGGCCATCAAGGCGCGCGCCGCGAGTGGCGTGCCTCCTTCCCCCTGGGTTGGGCCGCACTCCAGCGCCCCCTTCCACCAATTGGCGGAGCGACGCCAGAGGCTCGTCGACGCAGCCACTTTGAGGTCGGAGGAGGCACTGGGCGGCGTCCTCATACCGGCGGGGCGATGCCTCTACATCGATGAGGGCAGCGGCGAGGGCCAGGGGCAAGGAGAAAAGAAGCAATCGCCCCGTATCTACGACGTGGCTTCTCCCCTCTCCTTCTTCTCGCTGCCCCTCTTCACCACAACCATGTTCGCCTCGCACTTGCCGAGCAGCTACGAGAGCGTTATCGAGGATCTCTAATCGCTCCCTTTAATCTGAAGATATCATTAGCAGCCTGAGCCGATAGTCGCATTGCCGCACCTCACGCTCAGAGCTTCGTCCCATTCCCCTTCGCTGTGGTCTCCTGCGCGATCTCATCCCTGAGCACCCTCCTCAAGATCTTCCCACTCGGACTGACGGGAATGACCTTTCGCACTCTCACACCCCCGCGTAATCGCTTGTGTCCCGCCACGCGCCCGTCGACCCATTTCCTGACTTCATCCGCCAGCGTCTGCTCGTCCCCGCCGGACCAGGAGGGGGAGGGCACGATGAAGGCCAGCGGGAGCTCTGTTGCTTCGGCCTCGGAGTGGATGCCAATCACGGCTGCGTCGCCTACGGAGGGGTGGGAAAGGAGGAGCGCTTCGAGTTCCGCGGGGGCGACTTGGAAGCCTTTATACTGTTGGAGGGCGAGGGCGAGAACCAACAGTCAGCTCGACGCATCCCTGTAATTGCCCCTTCACATGACAATAGTACGGAGCGCTCACCTTGATCAACTCCTTCAACCGATCCACGATCCAAAAATGCTCGCCGTGTCCCTTCCCCTTAAATTTGGGGTCGCTCACCCCACTCTCGGGCGCAATGGCCACATCCCCCGTCTTGAACCACCCATCCTCATCGATCGCCTCGCGCGTCGCATCCGGCCTGTTTAAGTAGCCGCGCATGATCGTCGGTCCGCGCACCCAGAGCTCACCAGGCTTGCCCTGCGTGCCCTGCTCGTGTCCCACATCCATGCCGCTTTCATCGACGAGGCGGGCCTCCAAGTTGGGGAAGAGGGTTCCGATGGACCCCTTGATCTCGCGATAGAGCGCAGCCCGACCGGCGGAGACGGAGGGAGCCGTCTCGCTCAGCCCGTAGCCTTGGCAGAGCCTCACATCCCCGCCGCGCGCTCTCAGCCGCCTCTCGACCGCGTCCCCCAGCTCAGCGCTGAGCGGGGCCGCACCACACAAGAGGATCTTCAAGCTGCTCAGGTCGTACTCCTCCACGAGCGGGGACTTGGCCAGTAGCACGCAGATGGGGGGAACGATCTCTATGCGAGCGATGCGGTACCTCTGGATGGCGGCGAGGAATTGGGTGAAGTCGAAGCGAGGAAGAACAACGACGGTTACGCCGTACCAGATGTCGGCGATGATGAGGTGGAAGAGGGCAAAGATGTGCTGGAAGGGGAGGACGGCTAGGGCTGTGTCCTCGTGTTGATAGTCTCCGAAGCGGGCGAGGGGCATTTGCACCGCCCTGCACGAGAAGGTGGTTGGCAAGTGCGGTAGGATGGTCAGTCGTCCTTTCGACAGATCACTCGTCGCCTCGCCACAACTCACATCCAGATATGATTCGCATGGCTCAACTGCACCCCCTTTGGCTTACCGCTTGTCCCGGAGCTGTAGCAGATGAAGGAATCGACCTGACTCGCGTCCTCGAGCGGGATGGGTGCTAGCGTGTTGGAGCCGGCCTCGTCGATGAGGGTACGCACATCGAGCTCCCCGTTGGGGCCCGTCGAGTGGGCGTCACTGTCGCTGAGCAGGTACAGGGTGGGTCGACCTGAGCCTGGATGCGTGGTGGGGAGACCGGCCTGCGGGGTGCGAGTCCGAGATGGAGGGAACGAGGAGAGGGGAGGCGTGCCATTCAGTACTTTGCTCTCTGTGCGTCCCCCACTACATTCCTTGCCGCGAAGCCACCCACCCTCTTCATTCCCTCTCTAACCACACCCTCCAATCCGGGCGCCACAAAGATATACTCCGGCTTCGAGTCCCACAACGGATGGACGAGCTCCTCGGCCCCATACGCGGGACTCAACGTGACACTTGTGACGCCTGCGCTCAGGTTCGCATGAACCGCCACGGGGTACCACGTCGAGTTGGGCGAGAAGATTGCCACCCTGCTCCCCACTTCCAACTTGAGGAGGGATCGGAGAGCCCATGCTAGGCGGGAGGAGAGAGAGAAGAGGTCTCCGCGCGTCAGAGCATGCCCGTCTAGACGGATGTAGGCCGGTTTGGTCGAGGGGACATTGTTTGGGTTGCGGAGGAGAAAGGAGGCGAGATTGTCCCCAGCTTGTGGGCCTTGCGAGGCGGGGATGGGCGGGTGCGGAGAGGGGATGATCTGCGCCTTGTTGGAGGGCATGCTTCAAGTTGGAGGGGAGTGATGCGATAGGAGACGAGAGAGATGGAGCTGAACTCGGACGGCTGGGTGAGTGTTATCACGACGCTGTGATGGTCACGAGGAGAAGGAAGACGAGGGCAAGAAGAAGTGCCGTTGCGTTGCTTTGCAATGCGCCAGAGTGCGAATGAGGCAAAGGAGCGGCGTCGGCACAGCGGAAAGCCGGAGTACGCGGCGCCCGGCATCTGTTTGCCGTGCGTCACTCGCGCTGCTGGGGCCCCGCTCTGCTCCACCGCGTGGCATTGAGGCTCGAGCCCTGCCGTCCCCCTTGGTGATCGCCCTGGCTCACGAAGACGACACAATGACAACGACAGCTGCGACATCGACTTCAACGCTAGCCTCGTCTTCGCGCGCGGAGTCGACTGTACCATGAAATTTTTACCCTTTGCTTACGAAGAAGGGAGGGGTTGGCCTGACATTCTTTCAGGGCAAGAGGGTGGTGAGGTACAGTGTGCTTATAAAGTGCGAGGAAAGGCCTTGGCTCTCGAGCTTGCCCATTCAGCATCATCTCCTGCGATGTGATGAAGGTGGGCACCGGAGCTGGCCACCACACCCCGGCTGCTACCCTCGACCCTCGCTCGCGTGGCCTCCCTTGCCTCTGCCATGCCATGCCACGCCGCGTGGCTGAATCCCAGACTGGACCTGCGAGTCGAATCGATGCCGACGCCGAAGCCGGCGGCACGCAAGACGCAAGACGCAAGGCGGAAGAGGGGAAGGGGGGAAAACGTGCACACACCTTAATCGCACGACCGAGGCGATCGAACGTGCCACCGTCACACGAGCTGGTCTCGTCCTGCACACGGCGTGAGCGTGAGCCGTGAGACGTGAGCGTGACAGGGACTGAACGAGGCTCCCCTGGCTCATTAAGGGTCGACTGATCGTGGTCGATCAGGCGGGCAGGCAGGTGGGTTGCGTCCACTGAAGGAAGAGAGGGGAAGAGGGACGAGACTGCATCGTTCTGTCGCTCCTTACCACCTGATAGCCCTCCGTTTGACTCGACCCGCTGACCAGCAGTACTGGCGAGTCCCCCTCCCAACCCTCTCATCGACCAAGCCAAGCCAGCCTGGCGCTCCTCGTCGAACGGTCCACATAGGATGTACTCCCCCCCGTACCCTCACGCACACGCCTCCTCCTCCTCCTCCTTTCCCTACCACAACGTCGCGCCTCGCACCCCACTTCCCCTCCCGCCGATCATAGCCCCGCCCATGGGCCTCTTCTCTCCATCCGCAGACGCGGCATACCGTCCGGCCGCCCCCGCCTGGTCGCCCGCCTCGTCCTCCTCTTCGCCCTCCTCCCCCAGCAGGGCAGCATACGTGCAGTCGCGGGCGCAGCCCACCTCGGGTCCAGCTCGGGGGGCTGCGCGAGGTGGGCATGCCAGTTCGAAGGCACCAGGAACGGGTACCATAGGCCAGGGCGGATCCACTCCGGCTGCAATGGCGGGAAGTAAAGTCAAATCCTCTTCCTCTACCTCACGCGACTCGAAGCGAAGGGCGACACACAGCCAGATTGAGCGTCGCAGGCGCGAGAAGATTGTGCGTTCCTTCTTCCCCTCCCAACCCCTCCCTCCTGTCCTTGCTCCTAGTCAGCTCACAGAATCTCCCCTTTCTCCACCTGCCCACTATGTCACGCTCGCATGTACACGCACGCAGAATGCCCGCCTCATCACGCTGCGCAACCTAGTTCCCGCCTGCCTGCGCACGATCCAGGATCGCAAGGAGGAGGAGGAAGAGCGTATCCGCCTTCAGGAGGAGGATCAGCAGCGAGCTTCCTCCGCACTCGGTGGAGGGGGGATAGTGGGAGGAACAGGAGGGGCGAAGAGGAAGCGCAACAGGAGGAGCAAGAAGGCGACGACGGCGATCAGTGGAGGTGAGCAGGAGGGGGAATTGGGATTGCACAAGTTGGAGGTGTTGACACATACCATCGGTGAGTCGTGGAGGGTCACGGCTGGATGGGGAGGAGCGCTTGCTTACCCAATGAGGAGCGTGCCCCGCGCACAGAGTACATCTACCAGCTCCAGTCGCGCATCGAGGAGTTAGAAACGGGCGTCAAGCCGGCGCGCGTCCGAAAAGTCGAGGACGAAGATGAGGAGGAAGAAGCCTTACAAGACGAAGCAGCAGCAGCAGCAGCACCACGAGCGGAAGCAGGGGTCGAGGAGGAAGACGAGCTCCTCGAACCGGGCGAAGGAGAAGGACAAGGTCAAGGCGAGGATGAACCAGCCGCCAAACGACGTGGCTCTATCCTGAGCAGTGGCGCACAAACGAACGACACGTTGATGGCAACCAGCAGACTCAAGAGCGCGCCTCGCGCCGCCACCCCTACGCCTACGGTGGGCAGCGAAAGTACGACCTCCCCCCCACTCTCCCCTCCGCAAGTATCCCCACTCTTCCCAGGAACCTCTTCGTCGACACGAGGTAGTGGGAGTGGCGGTAGTTCGGCAACGACGACGCCGAGCGTGTCGAGCATCACGTCCCCTTTTATGAGTTTGAGCGCGAGTAGCCCCATCTTCATGGGGAATGCAGGGCAGAATAGCAACGGTGTCTCTTCGGCTCTGGCAAAGTTTGCTCTACCACCTGCCGCCATGCCCATGCCCATGGGAATGAGCACGAGCGATATAAGGCAGAGGGAGAGGGACGCATCAACCCCTCTAGCGAGCGCTGCCGCTCCCCTTGCATCTCGTGCGATTCGAGGCCACAAGGCTCACGGTCAAGGGGTACACGTACACGGAACCACCTCCGCCATTCGAGGGGGTGCCCCTCCCAGCACGGCGCACCTTCGTCGCACTCGTACAGCAGGAGGGGCACCGGCGGGGGCGGGAGAAGAGGAAGAAAAGGAGGACAATAAAGCTTCGGCTGCAGAGCTGTTGCTCTCCTTCTCCACCTCGCCCGAAGCACATCGTCCGCAAGGTCAAGGCCAAGGCCAGTGTCAGGGTCTGTCTCATAGTGCTACTTTGCCCGCATTACTGCGGCGCCGTACCACCCTAGATGGCGGCATCGGTGGCGGTGGCAGTGCGGGTGTACCCGGCTTCGCCTTCGCGCATCGACTTGCAGGCCAGCAGCACCACGGTAGGACAGCGACGACGACGACGACGACTGCATGGCGTGCTCCTCCAGGGTCCGCCCCCGGCGGCTCTGTGGCTACGGCTACGGCTACGAATGCTTCGGCTTCGGCGAGAGGCGATGTGCTGCCTAGCCCTCCTTTGCTTGCTCTTGATGCGGTGCGGGGGAAGAGCGCGCAGCAGGAGCAAGAGGAGGAGAGGGACGATAAGGGTATGAGTACATGAGTAGATCAGATGGCTGATGGAGCGGAGCAGCGCAGAGCAGCCCGAGCGAGAGGTGGGACGTCACGTCACGATCGAATATAGAGTTAAAGTCGTCATTTGGGTGTTGGGTAATCTCAAGGCTTGTGCGTGTGTGTGTGCGTGCTTGTGTGTGCGTGCGTGCGCGTGTGTTTTCATTCTCATCAAAGAACGACGACTCAAGAGGCGCGCGCTTGCTTGCATGTATGAACAGGGTGTCGATGTCGATGTCGAAGTGAGGAACAATACGAGGTGTGCTGCGAAGGGTAGGTGTCGTCGAAGAAAGGTCTTTCGAGAGAGAATCGAAATGAAACAAAGGGGACGAGGGAATAGGCGTACAGGGGCGTCGTAATCGCTGTAAGGGGAGAGTAGGGTAGGCTGAGGCTGAGGCTGTGGCCGTGGCTGGGATTGAGGTCGAGTGTAGCGTGCGTGCGTGCAAAAAGGGTCGAATGTACCGTTGAGCGCACAGCCTCCCACTTCTCTGGTCGTTACGCTCCTCGTGCCGCCGCGGCGTCGAGCGGAGCGAGGTGAGTCCCATTGAGGAAATGAAAATGAGAGGGAACCAAGCGGCTGAATAGCGCGTAAAGGGGATATTCGTGCAGGCGTGTGTGCGTGAGTGCATGTCTGGTAGCCGTGCTTGCTACCACAGGCCGCAAGCCGCGCAACGGTAAGCCAGTCGAGAGTGACGTCCCGCGGTAGCAAGGCTACGAAGGCTGCAAGTACGGACTCGAGTACGTGGGCGAGCTCCGTCTGATCGCTCTCGCTCTGGCTCGTGTATGCGAACGTATGCGTGGGTACGTACGTACGAGGGAGGAGTGCCGCAATGCCCTCATGCTGATGATGGTATCTGTGCTTGTGCTTGTGCTTGTGCGCTTGTGCTTCTCAGAGGCGCCGCCGTGGTGTATGATAAGTTGGAAGGATGGGAGTCGGAACCGCCTATAGGTGCGAAGATGGAGTTGAAGGCGGAGTTGACTTCTGGGTGCTCGATGTTCTCTCCTCCCACGACTCCTCTCTCTCTCATCCTCCTCCCCCTTCCCCCCTCCCTCCCCTTCACCTCACTCAAAAGCCACCTACGTCTCCGCACCACTCTGCGCGCTCCTCCCCTCCCTCCTCTCCCTCTCCCTCTCCCTCACCACAACCTCATACGGCTCAGTAGGCAGCGTGACACTACTCGTATAGCTCGGTGGCCACTTTGTCTCCTGACCCTCCTTCCACCCCAACTCAAAGGAAGGCAGAACAGCCACCACTAGCGCCAAGGCCTCGTACATGGCTAGCTGTTGACCGAGGCACCTGCGTGGGCCGCCATTGAAGGCGTGGAATTGCCACTCGCTCGGACTCCTGTACTGGTATTGCTGCGAGCCCTGCGAGGAGGGAGCCGACAAAGCACGCAAGAAACGCTCCGGCTTGTACTCTTCGCAGTCCTCTCCCCACACCTCGGGAATACGAGCCATGACCCAGTCTGACCATCCGACCATTTCTCCCTTGTACACCTGTAGGGGTGGGAGGTTATGCGGATTCGCCCCCTGAGGCACTATCACGTCGTCCTGCTCTACCATCTTGACATTCTTGGCCACCGAGGGGTGCAAGCGGATGGCCTCAGAGATGCAGGCTGTGGTGTAGGGTAGGTCCTTCATTTGGTCGTACTCGAGGAGTACGGGCGAGTCTGGATGGGAGGGTGGGGGGAGGTTGTTGCGGATCTCGTCGAGGATCAGCGGGATGTGCTGAGGGTGGGTGAGGAGCTCGATGATGAGCCAGGAGAGGGATTGGGCTGTGGTGTCGCGGCCGGCGATGAGGAAGTTGAGGACCACGATGAGGAGGTCCTGTGGGCGGGTGGGCGGGTGAGCGGAGCGGTCAGAGGTGGGCGGGTCAGCGAGGTGGCGAGTGGCAGGCGGAGAACTACGGGCTACGCCGCACGCACCTCCCTCTCCTTGGTGAGCTCCATAGCCAAGCCGAGTAGATCCTTCTTCTTTGCCTCCTCTCCCATGCCACTTCCACTATCCCTCCTCTCCCTCTTTCCCTCGTCCAACCTCTTATCGATGATCCCCAATGCGAACCCTCTAATCGTCTTGACCCACTCCCTCATATCCTCTCCCCCCTGATTGAACTTCTCAATGACCTGCCAGCCAGGCTTGACGAGCCGCTTATTGATGTGCTCCTGAGCGGCATCGAAGGCTACGGAGAAGGGGACTTGGTGGTCGAGGCAGGTGGGAGACGAGGTGAGACAGCCAATGTCGGCGCCGAAGGCTATGGAGGCGAAGGAGGACAGGGTGTACCGAAAGAAGAGGTCGGGGAGGGCGAGGTGGGGGGAGGAGCTGGTAGAGATGTTGCGTAGTAAGGTGTGGAGGGTGAGGAGCTCCGAGTGGACGACTGTCTGGACTATGCTGCGGAACTGGTTGACCGAGAAGATATGGCTTGCCCTGGCGTGGCGGGGAGTTGAGGAGGACGAGGTGTCAGCTACTACAGCGATGATAATGTCCCCTCTCGCAGGCACACGCGCACTCACATCTTCCTCTGCATCTTCCACGGATGTCCATCCGCCACAAAGATGCCATTCTCCCCCAGTAGATCACTAAACGCATTCCTGAAATAGCTCCCCTTTGTATAATTCTCGAAATTCGTCTTCTGCACATACTCGATGTACTCTGGTCGACTCATCATGATGATCCTTCCCGTAGGCCAAAAGGTCCAGCTGTACACAGGCAAAGGGGAGGCGCGAAGTTGCTCGAGGAGGCGATGTAGCTGGTCGACGGTACCGCGGCGGACGATGGTGAGGGTATTGCCTATGAGGGGGAGACCGGGGAAGGTATGGACCCCGGGGCGAGAGGGGTGAGTGCCGACTAGGCGGTTAGGGTAGCGGATGAGGAGGTAGAGGAGGACCAGGAGCGAGAGAAGCCATGTCGCCGGGATGGGCAGGGGAGACGACGAGGTGAGAAGGGCCATCTTGGCGGATGGCGCAATGCTGAGCAGCTGGCGCGATGTTGAGCAGCTGAGGCGGCGAAGGGGAGTGATGGGTGACGAGGAACGTGAGGAATGGCTATCCGTGTGAGTCCTAGCTGCTCAAGGCGAGCGGAGTCGAGTCGAGTCGAGTCGAGGCTCACGTCGAGGAGGAGCGAATGCTAGCTAGTGTCAAGGGGAAGGAGCGGTGTGTGGTGGGACGGGATAATAGGAATTGGTACGGTGTGGAGCGAAGTCAAGCCCTTCATTTCTCATCCTCCCGGATGGATGGCTGAGCATCACCAAGTCAAAGTCAACTCAGCTCATTGCGTTGCGTTGCGTTGCGTCGTCCTCGTCGCTTGCAATTGCAACTCGTCACTACTCGCTTCACTGTGCGAGCGTGAGTCGCCTTCGGCTTCGCACGCCGGACGGACAGGCACAGGGCAGGCCGTGCAGGGCGGGGCGGGGCGCCGAGTGGAGACGCCCGCCCCCCCCCCCGAGTTGAGTTGAAGCTCGGTCACCATTCAGGGCGCACGGGTGCACGGAGAGGGGGAACCTCGGCCTTCCTGTCTGGGCCCCGCCCGGCACGCACAAAGAAGCCGCCATGTCGTGGATGACACTTTTGACGTCCGAATCTCACGCAAAGCGCAGCGTCGTCCTGCCCTGGCCGGCCGACGTTAGGGCTTCTATTGTTAATCAAATCGTTGAGAGAGAGTGGCAGAGTCGTCATGAGCACTTGCTCACATAGCTCACGAACTTGTAGCTCGTCGCTCGTCGCTCGTCTCTCTCAGCCAACTGGATATATCTATCACCATCTGAATCACTCTCTTCACTGGTACAGAGTCGGCAAGGGAAAAAGGCCTCTTGCCTCTCCACTCTGACTTACTACGCATCTTCCACCCTCGTCCTACCAAATCGCGCCTTGTTAAGCGCACCACCACCTTTCCCCTTGTTTTGACCCTCTGCCTCCCCATCCAGACTCTTGCGCTTGCGCCCAGCTGCCGTACCCGTACCCGTACCTCCCGAGGTGGCGTTCCCCTTCTCCTCCTTCTTCGCATTCGCGACTCCTTCCTTCTTCTTCGTTACGGAGGGATTCATCCCGGGTGACGATCCTTTGCTACCCCCCGCCTCGTCTTCATCCTCACCGTCACCATTGGCGCTGCCGCTGCCAGTAACAGGCGTCACCCTCCCACTCCCAGCCCTACTGGCACTCGCGCTCCCATTTGCACTCGCGCTAGGAGTGGAAAGCTCCTCAAAGCTCGGCCCTTGGTTCTGATTCTCGTTCTCGTCCTCGTTCCCACCGCCGCCGCCCGCCGTGCCCGCAGGGGTGTGTATAAAGTGGGAGAGGAGCTCATCCATATCCACATCGGCGTCCTCGTTGAGGTTGAGGTTGAGATTTGAGTTGAGATTCAGGTCCGTATCCTTACCCGCAGTAGGACCCGCACCAGCACTGCCACCGGCAAATTGTCCCCAATCGCCTGGAGCGAGGGCCGGATTGCCCATACTGGTTTGTCCCTGCGGTTGCGTGGAAGAAGAAGAAGGCTGACCCGCACCCACTGGTCGCATCACCGCGCTCAGCTGCTCAATGGCCGTCTGGATCATCTGGGCACTCTGCTCCGTCTGCTGCAGGGTACCACCCTGCGTCGCGAGTTGGTGGTGCAGCTGTGCGCCCCCCGAGGACGAGGCTGAGCCTGAGCCTGAGCCGGAGCCGGAGCCTGAGCCGGCCCATCCTTGCGCTTGCGCGTGGGAGAGAGAGTCCTCGGCCGTGCCTGTGTTTGCCTTGTTGTTGCCATTGTTGTGGGAAGACGACGACGTAAAAGGAAAGGGGGAAAATCGATCCGAATCGTCCCCTTCTGCCTCTGCTGGTGCGGCGCTGAAGTACCCTCCTCCTGCACCTCCCCCTCCCCCTGGTGTGCCGGGTTGGCCGCCTTCCCTCCCTGCACCGCCTCCGCTGGCACCGGTATTGCCTGCCTGCTGAAAAGCCTGAACAAGGGCAGCGAGCATGTTAGGGTCGAGGTGCTGCTTGCCTGGCCCTGCCCCTCCTCCTCCTCCTCCTCCTCCTCCTGGAGTGCCCGGAACGGGTCCGCCCGTCTGATTGGCAAAGAGCTGCTGCAGTAATGCCTGTCCTTCTCCGCTCGCCAAGGCTTGGAGGATCTGATTGCCCGACACACCACCCCCACCACCACCCCCACCGCTCGCGCCGGCGTTTCGTCCCTTCGAGCCCGGGGTGCTAGGTCTTCGCGGCGTATCCCCCAGAAGAGGGCGCGCCCGCGGACGAGGCGTCGTTGAGCCCGCTCGCGATGTTGAGTGCGAGGGTGAACGCGAGAGGGACGGGCTGGTCGGTCTACTTCCCGTGTCCCTCGGCGAGTCGGAAGGAGAGGTGATGTGAGAAAAACGCGACCCCTGAGCATTGGCGTCGTTGAGGTTGGACGGGCTGTTGGTCGCCTCGGTGAAGCGGGAGAAGAGCTCTTGGATTTGAGCCTCCTGCGAGCCGCTACCGCTCCCAAATGGGCCTAAATCGCTTTCGTGGTCGTGATCGTCGTTCTTCTCGGGCTTGCTGCCCTCAATCATCAACGGCCCTCCTCCGCCTAGCTGAGAGTTATTCCGAAAGAGCCCCCGCCTAGGAGAGGGGGAGTTGGCCGTTCTCCCTCCCTCATTGCCACTTGCTCCCTGTCCGCCTGCTCTTCCTGCCCTGGCCCTTCCCTTCCCCATCCCACCACTTCCACCAGCACCACCCGTCCCCCCCAGACCCTCGGCATGCAACGCCCCCTCCCCTCCTCCTCTGAACACGCCAGCAAGGAACTGCAACATCCTCCCAATCGTCTCGGCCTGCTGCTCGCTACGTCTCTTCTGCTCCATCGTCTCCTTCCATAGCTCGTCGTTGCTGAGGGAGAGGTGACGGAGATTATCGTTTATGTTGGACTGGGCGGACTGGATTGCTTGGATTGCCTGCCAGACGGGTGTGAGTTGGAGGAGGGCTGAGAAGGACGAATCTGAGTGAGATTGGTGGGATGAGGTAGAGGATGAGGGGTCGCCCAGCCCAGATCGGGTGAGTGCGCCGCTGGTCGATGTGAGGCTTCCGTGTCCTTGCCCTGCAGAAGCAGCACTTTCCAAAAGGAGGCGACGCGAGGTCGACGAGGAGGAGGCGGCGGCCTCGTACTCTTCGCCCGCACCGGCACCCGCATTCGCATTCGCCCCCTTCTCCTCCCCTCCTGCCCCCGTTCCACCCTTTCCCCCCTTCTTCCTCTGCATCAAACCCATCAATTCCGGCCTATCCCTCTGGAAGTGTCGTTCCTCAAACTCCCACACCTCCATGTCCTGCTCGTGTTTCAGACTACCCTGCTGTAAAGAAGGCACCTTGTGGAAGCCGTACATGTTGAGCTGTCGGACGAAGGAAGGGAAATTGTTGTGCTTGAAAAAGCGAGGGAGGACCTCTTTGGCGAAACGGACGTGGTTGGGGACTATGAATGTTAGGCCGGTGGGTTGCCAGGTTATGAGCGAGTCGGTGGACGGGTCGTCGACCATGCTGAGTGAGCGAGAGGGAGGTGGTGAAGGGTTAGCCTGTAGATGTGGAGAGGCGAAGCGAGGAGGGAGGGGACTACTCACCTTCTCAGCTTGTTCAGAAATGGCGGAACACGTTGCGGCTGCGGCTGCGGCTGCGGTTGCGGTTGTTGCTGTGGCTGTAGAGCTGCCGAAGAGCTACTGGCCGCCTGGCCCTGCTGCTGCTGCTGCTGCTGCTGCTGTACGTTATGATTCGGGCTTGAACTCCTTCTCCTGCCCACTGGCGCAGCATCTTTGGACGTCGAATTCAACGCGCCCGTATCATGTAGCTGATTCGCATTAACAAAAGCGGGCGGGCCCATCCCCACCCCCATCCCTATGCCAGGAGCATTGCCCTGCCCCTGCCCCTGCCCCAATGCATCTACATCGCTCATCTGTAGCCCGCTGTTCTGCCCCACGCCTTCGAATGCCGATGTCCCATTAGCGTCGGCAGCTAGTGCTTGGGCGAGGAGGGCGGAGAAGTCTGGGGTGGGGCTGGGGGCCGTAGCACTAGTGGCAGTAGTAGTTGCCTCCATGCCTGTGGCGCCCGGGCCGTTGGCCGTGGACGAGGATGAGGGGGAGGGGCCGAAGGAGAATGGGAATGGGAATGGATTGCCCGCCCCCGAGTTGAATGAGGGATGCTGCTGTAGTCGAGCGAGGGCTAGAGAGTTGGACGTCGAGGCGGAGGAGGTGGATGGGGAAGAATCGAAGCCTGAGAAGGCCGAAGGATTGAAGAGGTCCTCGCTATTGGCGTGGGCATTGGCCGTATCTGGCGATGATGAGCTGGATGCTGCTGCGCCTGCCGCTGAGCCTTGGCCGGTGGACGTCGCTTGGTTCGAGTGGTGGGCTGACGTGCTTGCCGTAGCGGGGGCCATGGCCTGATGCCGAATTGGGCTTGGGCGTGGGCGTGGGCGTTGGCGTGCGCGCAGCTCTTGGGTAGGTTGTAGTGACGCCGGAAAAAAGGAGGAGGAGATGAGCGAGAGGGCAATGGTAACGAGCTCAATCCTCCACGACAGACACACGCACGCAGCCCGCCGCCAAAACTTCAAAGACGAGACGAGACGAGGCGAGCGGGGCGGAGAGAGGCAGACAGAGCAGCAGAGCGGCAGGCGGCAAGGCAGACGGACTCGCGCGCAGATTGGATGGGCCGCCGCTTGCCGTCGATGGCGAGGGTCGACATCGAAGTCGAGATCGAGGCATGGCAGGCAGGCAGGCAGGCATGGCAGGCATGGCAGGCAAGCAAGCAAGGGCACGGCGCAGATCAAAAAGAGGATGGTGGTAGCATCGAGCATGATCCGCGCAGAGAGTGGGAAGATGCTCACAGCCCTGTTTGCCGTGGAACATCTTCAGCTTGGTCTCTGATACAGCGACTCTGATGCGCCGCCGTCCGCCAGACCAGATTCAGCCCGCGCCGCATCGACTGGCTGAGCCTGCAGCCTCTCTCTCCCTCTCACTCACTCTCACTCACCTCGTCGAGCTCCGAGCTCCGACTCCACATCCACATCCACGTCGGCGGCGGCGGCGCGAGCGGTCAGACCTTTGGATTGAATGCGACGACGACGACCCGGTCGAGCCGGTTGACCGATTGGCGATTGCGTGTTGCCTTGTTACCGACTCTGATTGGCATTGTCACTATACTATTGCCATCAATCTCATCTCGCCATAGTCCTAATCACGGTCATCATCATCGACCCAGAAACCTCGCAGCAGAGACGAAGACGCACCGCCGCAACACAATCACAATCGCAATCCACAGCCATGCCGGACAATGCCGCCATCCCACCCTTTGCGCAGGCGACTGCTGGTGCAATGGTGAGTCGCGTCTCGTCGTGTCGTCCTTACGACTCGACGTACCTCTCTGACCCTCTTGATCCCACTCTCCCCCATCCCACGTCACGCCGCGCTCGCCCACTCGTAGGGAAGCCTCGTATCGAACAGTATCGTCTATCCTCTGGATCTCGTCTCCACGCGGGTCCAGACCTCCCCTTCTGCCTCTCGTTCCCAGGCAAGCTCAGCCTCAGCTTCGGGCTCAAAGTCAGGAGGGAACGCCAAATCAACGTCAACCTACGGTGCTCTAGCGGAGATAGTTCGGCGCAAGGGGATCTCAGGGCTCTATCAGGGGTTGGGGACGGATAATCTCTCGAATACGGTGAGTTGGTGCTGACGGTATGCTTTGCTCTCACTCCTGCTGAATCCATCGACCCCATCCCTTCTCCTCGCCTCCCTATCCGGCCGATCGACTGACGCTCTCAGCTATCCAATTTCCTCTTCTTCTTCTTTCGAGCAGCAATAGTTGCTCGACTGGTGCGACCCTCCCCCTCATCGTCCTCATCGTCATCCAAACGCCCACCCCCCACCTCGTTGAGCCCCGCCCAAGACCTGGCAGCCGGAGCCTTGGCCGGTATCCTCTCTCGGGCCTGCACCACTCCGCTCAGTAATGTGACCGTGAGGAAACAGACTCATTCCAGTTCTACTTCGGCGACCAAGGAGAAGGGGAAGGGGGAGGGAAACGAGGGAGAAGACGATTCCAGTGACGACGAGGAGACGCAGTACGAGGACGAGCCTGCGCTTTTGGAGATAGTCCGCGAGATAGTAAAAGACAAGGGTGTGCTAGGTGAGTGTTCCCCCCTCTCCTGCTTTCTCATCGTCTCTTAACCTCATCCACTCACCCCGCCCTCCTTCGTGCCCACACCCCCACGCAGGCCTCTGGTCCGGCTTCCCCGTCGCCACCCTGCTAAGCATAACACCCGCCCTAACCTTCTACCTAACCAACATCCTAACCCGTCTCCTCCTCCCAACCGCATCCCGCCAATCCCCCAGCCCAGCGCAAACCTTCCTCCTCTCCGCGCTAGGAAACGCCCTTTCCACCTCCCTGCTCTACCCTCTCATCCTAGCGAAAACCCTCCTCCAATACCGTGATCCGAGGGGACGTAGAGTCTACAAGGGGCTCGTGGATGTGTTGCGTGGCACGATTAGGAGGAGAGGGGTGAAAGGGTTGTACAAGGGGTTGGAGAGTCAGTTGGCTAAAGGGGTTACGGCGCATGGGGTTACCATGGTTGTGAAGGGGAGGGTGGAGGAGGGATTTGTGCAGGCTTATTTGGCCGCGAAGAGGAGGGGGAGGGGAGGTGAGTGATCCTGCGCGGGGGAGGAGAGGAGAGGAGGAGTGGACTTCGCTGCGAGGCGGTGAAACGTGACGATGATGGTGACGATAATGCCCGCTTGAATAGATACCTGACCTGCATCGCCTCGCTACGAATCTGTCTGGTCACGCTCATTGGGGGCCACGTCGCTCACGCTGCTCGCTCACGCATCGCATCTGGGAATCGGCTAGCTCATTGAAAAGGATCAAGACTACGAAAACAGAAACGTCTACAGATCAAAGAATCGCTCGCCCACGTCTTTCCTTTTTATGAGCTCAGTCGCGCCTCGCGCCAACCATTAGTCGACCTCCTCGACCGAGGGTCCGTCAGCGTCCCCTCCACCGGGGGCAGCTCCGGGTGCACCACCAGGCGCGCCACCGGGCATACCACCGGCCTGACCGTAAGCCTTCTGCATGATGGGGTTGATGACCGCCTCGAGCTCCTTGCGACGGGACTCGTACTCGTCCGTAGACCCCTCTGCCGTCTCGTCGAGGAACTTGATCGTCTCATCGATGGCCTGCTTTGCCTTCTCCTTGTCGCTCTCGTCGAGCTTCGAGGCGAATTGCTCCTCTCCCAACGAGTTGCGAACCTGGTAGGCGTAGCTCTCGAGACCGTTGCGAGCACTGATGCGGGCAGCGGCGGCTTCGTCCTCCTCCTTGTACTTCTCGGCATCGTTGACCATACGCTCGATGTCCTCCTTGCTGAGGCGACCCTTGTCGTTGGTAATGGCGATCTTCTCCGACTTGCCCGACGTCTTGTCCGCAGCAGAGACGTTGAGCACCGCGTTGGCGTCGACGTCGAATGTGACTTCGATCTGAGGGACACCGCGAGGGGCGGGGGGGATGCCGGAGAGCTCGAACTTGCCCAGGAGGTTGTTGTCCTTGGTGCGGGCTCGCTCACCCTCGTAGACCTGAATGAGCACACCGGGCTGGTTGTCCGCGTATGTGGAGAAGATCTCGCTCTTCTTGGTCGGGACGGTGGTGTTGCGCTTGATCAGGGGAGTGAAGACACCGCCTGCCGTCTCAATACCCATGGAAAGAGGGGCGACGTCGAGGAGGAGGAGGTCCTGCGTCTTCTCGCTGGTGTCACCGCTGAGGATGGCGGCCTGGACGGCGGCACCGTAGGCGACTGCCTCGTCGGGGTTGATGGACTTGTTGGGCTCGCGGCCGTTGAAGAAGTCGCGGAGGAGCTTCTGCACCTTGGGGATACGGGTGGAACCGCCGACGAGGACAATCTCGTTTACGGATCCCTTGTCAATCTTGGAGTCGCGGAGCACCTTCTCGACGGGCTCGAGGGTGTGGGAGAAGAGGTCACCGCAGAGCTCCTCGAAGCGGGCACGGGTGATGCTCGTGTAGAAGTCGATGCCCTCGAAGAGGGAGTCGATCTCAATGCTGGTCTGAGCGGCCGACGAGAGGGTACGCTTAGCACGCTCGCAGGCGGTGCGGAGGCGGCGGAGGGCACGGGCGTTGGTGGTGAGGTCCTTCTTGTTCTTGCGCTTGAACTCCTGGACAAAGTGGTTGACGAGGCGGTTGTCGAAGTCCTCACCTCCCAAGTGGGTGTCACCGGCGGTAGCCTTGACCTCGAAGATGCCCTCCTCGATGGTCAAGAGGGAAACGTCGAAGGTTCCTCCTCCAAGGTCGAAGATGAGGACGTTCTTCTCGCCCTCACTCTTCTTGTCAAGACCGTAGGCGATTGCTGCTGCGGTAGGCTCGTTGATGATACGGAGGACGTTGAGGCCAGCGATGGTGCCGGCGTCCTTGGTAGCCTGACGCTGCGAGTCGTTGAAGTAGGCGGGGACGGTAACGACGGCGTCCTTTACGGAGCCACCGAGGTAGGCCTCTGCCGTCTCGCGCATCTTGAGGAGGACCATGGATGAGATCTCCTCGGGTGTGAAGATCTTCTCCTCTCCCTTGTACTCGACCTTGATGTTGGGCTTGCCCTCCTTGGACACAACCTCGAAGGGCCAGTGCTTTCGGTCAGACTGGAGCTCTTGGTCCTCAAACTTGCGTCCGATCATGCGCTTGGCGTCGAAGACGGTGTTGTGAGGGTTCATGGCGACTTGGTTCTTGGCAGCATCACCGATGAGGCGCTCCGTGTCGGTAAAGGCGACGTACGAAGGGGTGGTACGGTTGCCCTGGTCGTTTGCGATGACCTCGACGCGGTCAGATTGCCAGACGGCGACGCACGAGTACGTGGTCCCGAGATCGATTCCAACTGCCTTCGTCATTGCTGCGTGCGTGAGTGGCAAAGGAGGAGGAGGATGGTGTGAGCGGGTGGATGAATGCGAAGGATGCTGCGCGTGGAGCTGCGCGTGGAGCTGCTCACCTGTTGTCTATGTGATTGGGATGCTAGTAGTGAAGTAGAACGTCTGTCGATGGGGTATGTGACGACGATGTGTGTGTGAGGAGGGGAGAAGTCTGTCTCTCGCCAAAAATCTTTTAAAAGGGTAGATTCCTGGCGGATGAGGGATGGATGTGACGTAGGCGAGAAAGACTGGCAACTTCATGGATGTACTCCAGTTTCTGTGGCCTTCGTCAGGACGCCGAGGGCTATCTAACTACGCTCGCCACGTGGTTGGCCCCCGACGACGTCGATTGATTCCTTCTTCGCATCTTGTCCATTGCTGCGAACTGTGTCCTTCGCCTGCCTTACCTGCCCTCGCCTGCCCTCACAATCATTGTCAATGTCACACTTATCGCAAGATGAAGAGCTCCTTCATCGCGCTCAACTAGCCATATCTGCTTTCAGTTCGGCTTGCTGCCACTCGTTGATGCCAAGTCACCGTGGCCACTCGCTATGGCCCAATCTTCTCTCCCGTTCGAGAGCAAGGGCTGACACAGTGCAGCGGTACTGTCGAAATCGCATCGGATCGTCTATCGTCAACGTGATCGGCACAGTCGGATCCTCGTTGGCTTAGTGCGATGTGTTGTGCGTGCGAGCTCGACTCGACTCGATTGTGAGACGTTGGGTGGGAGGCGGCGGCCGCAACCCTGCCGCCCTGCAACGTCTCGAGGTAGTGGCAGTGGCAATGGACCAGTGACGCAGCCCAGCGATAATGCAACCGTAGCCAGCGTCGCAGGGGCGGAGAGTGTCAGTACTAGTGGTGGTAGTGATGGCGGTGGCGGTGGCAGTGGCGGTGGCAAAAGGGCGCGCACGAGCAGCGGAGGAGAGAATTTTCAAGTCGAGGATGCGGTCCTCACTCTCTTTCGCCCTCACGACGACGACCATCATGACGTCGCGCGTCTACACATCTCGTCCTCCTTCAATGTCTTTCTCTCATCTGATACCAGCCATCCGTCAATCGACCTCTGATCAGAGCAACAAGCGTGGACGCGGCGAGCTCGGCGAGCATGAGCACGACGAGCACAATAAGAGGTGTAGTGGGGCAAGACGGCTGCTATTGCTAAGAGCGGGGCCGATATCGTATTGTTTCGTTTGGTATCGAGTAGCGCTACGGTAGGCATACAGATTTGATCGATATAAGAGCTTCGAAAATCGTATACGTAGCACGCTGGCAGCCTACGCGCCCGCACGGCTATGCTGAAGGAAGGCCATGATGGTGCTGAGTGGGTTTGACTTGATCATGTCGTTTCCCGATTGCAGCTGCGCCGTAGCGTTGGGAGCCTCAATGCGGCGCACACTTTCGGCATCGAGAGTGGCTAGCTGGAGGTTCTCGGTGCCCTCGAAGAAGCGGCGAGTGTGGTCCTTGTGGGCCATCATCGTTGCCCTCAGAGGGTGCCAGGTTCGACCGGTGGTGTCAAAGGCGAGACCTGTGAGGCGATCCCGAACCCTACAGCGAGCGCAGCATGCGGACAGCATGACGAAGAGCCTCCACCAAGCCCCAGCCTGCCACACGAAGACTCCCTTGCGCTTGAGGACAGCGAGGTCGCACGCGGTCATTCCTCGCTGCCACGACAGGATGATGAGGCGGATGAGATCCGCAGACTGCGCCCCTCGCCATAGCAGCGTGTCCACCCCATCAGCGTTGCGGGGCCGGGCGACACCGTATTCCTCGCAAACAACATCGGTGGCGCGGCGCAGCAACGAGATCGTGGCCTTGACCATCGTGTCGCTCACTTCGCCGTCGGCGCGCAGGCTGGCAGCCAGTAGCGGCCCTTCCTTCAACCTCTCTTGCGCGCGAAAGTCCGTGTTGAACCCATGAGCAGCTCGCACGATGCCGTGTGCCGGGTTGCGTGGGTGTGCAACGACAGCCTCGTGGTGCTCCGCCACCATCTCCGCCAGCTTGCTGAGGTGCGGCCACGTAGTCCCGTCCGCAGCGACCAGCGCATGCAACTCCCGGTTGACAGCTCTCTGGAGCGAAGTGAGCCTCCTCCTGTCCTCGGCCAGTCCAGACTCTGCGTAACGCTTTGCCAGCCAGTATGTGCCGTTGAGGATGTCCTCCAACAGCGCCACGTCTGTTGCTAAACGCAGCCTGTTGAGCTGAGCGCAGCAGAAGAAGAGGGCAGAGAGGGCAGGCTGCTGACTGCGTCGACGCTGGAATCCAGCAGGTGCCAGCACCACGGTCTGCTCCGTGTGGCCCGTCTTGCGCCCTTGCTGGTCGAATTGCCAGACCTGGTCCAGCGAGGGGGCGACGATCCTGAGGGCGCCGAAGAGGAGGTGGTACGTCTTCTCCGTGTGCTCGAAGACGTCGAGCGATAGCCCGGGGACAGCCTGAGCCACCATTGCCGGCCACACCGTCTGGTAGCTGCCATCGTCCAACGCGGCCTTGAGCGCCTGGGTGTCGATGGGGACGGGGGCAAAGACCAGGCGCTTTGCCGTGCTGACCAGCGCTCGAAGCGTTGCCTCGCTGAGCTCATGGCCGCGGAAACGGTCCCTCTTCTGATACGCCTCTACGTCCCGTTGACTGAGTGGACGCTCGTATGCAACAATGCGCTTTTTGAGATTGCGCAAGGTCGCAGGCGCAACAACCGGAAAAGGCTCGACGATGGGCAGGTGCGCAGCGGGAGGGGCAGCGGGAGGCGCGGCAGGAGCTGATGAGACCGGGAGAGCGACGGTAGCGGCGGATCAGGTGGCAGCGGCGGAAGCTGGTGGCGCGAGAGGAGCATTGAGGACGAGGAGAGAGGCTGAGGTGGTGGCAGCGGAGGACGTGGCGGGAGCAGAGGGACCATGGATGAGGAGCGGCGAGGAATTGGCGAGGACGGGCGAAGGAGGTTGGCAAGGCGAGGGAAGGAGGCGACGAATGATGAGGTGTCGATGTCGGGGCATCTGGCTCGACGGCAAGCTCAGCCGCAAAGATTGAGCGGAGGACCTCGTTGATTGAAGATGATGGATGAAGAGCCGGGATAGGTGGCAGGACGCTGAGCTCCCCTGCGAGCGATGCATCGAAGCTGACAGAAGCAGACTGCCATGCTGGATGCGCCCTGATGTCGCCGAGGGTGCTTGGTGGAGCCCAGACAACCGGAGGGATATCCCTGTTCTCCAGGTCAGCCTTGCAGCTGCCATTGAATGCCTCTATGATGGATGAGTTCGCGCCCACATTGTGTCCAGCCGCCGGTGCAATCCAAGCCGCCTCGCTCGCAAAGGTCTCTTCAAAGCCATTGGCGGCTGCAGAGAACCATGCTGGATGACTACGAGCGATTTGAGCGGCGGTGCTGTTTTGCAATGGGATCTTCGGCTCATCAGGCAGGCTCAGCGCTGCGTCACCACTTGCGGATTCGACGTGCTGGCTGCCATGACGCATGCGAACCGGGCTGGATAAGGGTGCGAGAAGGTGCATCGATGACCTGATGCGTTCCCCTAGCCTGGAAGTCGGCCCCAAAGGTACGAGCCAAGGCTGCCTGGATGGACGTTGCGCTGGATGAGGATGGTTGCAAGGATGCCAGCTATGACGTTGTTGGAAGCCGGGATCGAGGCGGCGAGGAAGGAGGGCGAGAGGAGAGGGGCCTGGGAAGACCCAATAGAAGGCAGTAATGCCGCCTGATGAGGCAGGAACGAAAGGAGGAGGATGATGGTGATGAGAGGGCAGCATCAGCCGTGGTGTTGGTGATGTCGGCAAGTGCACGACGTTGGTTTGGCCTCTCTTGAAGTAGCGATTGGCCATCGGCATTGGTAAGAAGGGACGAGCAGGGCGAGCCAAGTCAGCAGCATCCCCTGTCACGAGCGTAGCCGTGAACGTTGACCAACTCACCTCCTCTGCGACCCGATCGTCAGGAGTCCGGCGGGTCGTTCGAAGTTTCAGTCTGATTGGCGAGAAGGAAGTTGTGGCATCCTCCTCGTTTGTTGACTCTGGAAAGGGCTGGTGCTTCGCCTACGGATTGCGAGTCGGTGTACTATGCCTTGATCCCGTAGCGTCGGGGTGCACTACAGCCCTAGCAGGTGAGCCGGGGTGAAGACGATTGCAATTGCGATGGCGAGGTGGCTCAATGGACGCCTGCCCCTGGCACGATGCGATTGATCGAGAAGTTGATGACGGCGGCGACGGCGGCAGTGACGGGCTTGTTGGTGACGCTGGCGAGTGTATGTCACTGAGGTTGCCTCTGATGACATGATATCTCGTCCTGAATCCTGATGCGGCGTGATTGAAAGAGAGGAAGCAGCGCAAGAGTCAGCTACATCGTGTCTCCCTCTCGCTCAGCCTGGGCTCGATGCTCAGCCAAATCAAGTCAAGTCAACTCACCTCATCTTCAACTCGAAACAGGCAGCACCTTGTTCTATGACATAGCGTATCGTGCCAAGCCTTCTCTACAGCCTCGAGGAGGGCGCAAGAGGAAGGGTCCGGCTGGATGGAGCCGATCAGGTGAGGGGAAGGCGAGCAAGCTCAGCCTAATCAACACCAACACCAACACCAACACAACCCGGCTACGCCTCGCCGCTCGAGTCGTGCTGACACGAGTGCATTGGCTAAGCTCTGCCCCTGATTTGGGTGAGCGGATGGGCGATGATGAAGAGGATGATGATGAGGGGCGGAGGGGTGTGGGGGGGACAAGGTGACGTCCACCCCCGGAGGAAGGGAAAGGGAAACAAGTTTGCCAGGCGGGCGGACGGCTGAGCAACTCCAATCCAAATCCAATCACTCTCCCCCGCTCGCTCGCTCGCTCGACGCGTTTCCCTGTTCGCCCCGCGCGCCACGTGGTTGAGTTGTGGCCCGTGAGCGATGCGGGCGGAGAGGAAGAAATGTCAAGTTGGGTGGAGCGGCTGAAGCATCGCTGAGCCTACCAACCTACCAACGATACAAGGAAATCACCATGGCTGAACCGGGCGTCTCTATGACAGCAGCTGGTCCTGCATCGCACGTCGATCTGGTCCCTCTCCTCGCCCAGCTGGAGGAGGAGAGAGCCCTTTCTGAGGTGAGGCCGTGCGGGGACGGGTGGCGAAGAGAGAGGAGATGGGATTGCTGATCCAGCCTACACTTCTCGCGTGGGGTGTGGCTATATGCGGCGGCGACAGAACATCCGCACGAAAGCCAAGGACATCGAAGCTGTTCAGCGTCAACTCCAAGCAGGGTTGAATCGTGTGCATTCCACGCCGGCTGAGCAAGGTGAGCCACCAGCCCTCCCTCCCCTCGTCCACCCTGTAGCCTTACACCCCTCCTCCCCGCCAAACCATCAGTCCCGCAACTGGTCTTCTCCCTCTCCCCCCTCTTCACGCAACTTCGCTCCCAAATCCACTCCGTAGCCGCCCTAGTCCCGGCCAACCAATTCTACAAGTGGAACGACTGCTGGTCCTTCTCCCTCCAACGAAGCTCGTACTGCGCTTGTCTGGCCTACTGGCTCACAACGGGTCGACTCATCACCAAAGAACAGGCTGCACAACTACTCGGACTGGACGCTCAGTCGTCGCCAGAGAACGTAGGGAGGATGGAACTGACTACGGAAGAGTACCTCCATTCCCTCATTAGTATGATCAACGATTTTTCCCGCCTGGCAGTAAATGCCGTAACGATGGCCGACTTTGCCACCCCGCTCAGGTTGAGCGAGTTTGTCAAGGAGCTCCATGCAGGGTTTGGGGTCTTGAACCTCAAGAATGACTCGTTGAGGAAACGATTTGATTCCATCAAGGTGCGTGTCCCGCGTCGCCCCGGCCTACAAGAGGCTAGACGAAAAGCGTGGAACTGATCCACCTCGCCCCGCACACTGCCAGTACGACGTGAAACGAGTCGAGGAGATCGTGTACGATGTCTCGCTGCGTGGACTGCTCAAGGACCGCTCGCCCGAATGGGACCAGAGGGGGTTGGGCGTCATTGTCGACGAGGAGCGGCGCGCACAGGTGTGGGCCGCTCTGTGTGGGACGGGCAAGGACGAGAGGTGAGGACGCCAAGGCTGTACTGTACGCCCTCTGGTGAGCCACGAGGAGAGCCGAAGCGAGGCAATGACGGGGGATATGAGCTGACCATCTTGATCTCCGCAACGACAGGGACGCGGACGCTGATAGACGCCAGGTCAAGCGTGCACGCCACGAGTAGACGCTTCATGAATATGAATGACATGCGCACGCACCCTCCCACGCGGCTACCTGCGCTTCTTCTTGCTCTTGCCCTTGCCACCCTCATCGCTCTCGTAGCCTCCTTTGCGCTGATCAGCCCTCGCGGCCTTCTTCTCCATCTCATCCCAATCCATCCCTTCACTCTCATCGCTGTCCAACCCAGCATCGCTCCCCGACCCACTCTCAGATCCACTCTCATCAAAGTCACTTCCACCATCATCGTCGTCTTCATCCTCGCTATCCTCACTACTCTCAGCATCAAACGCATCACTCTCCTCATACGCGCTTCCTTCCTCGCTCTCCTCATCGCTGCTCCCACCATCCTCGTCACTCGACCGCAAGAAGCTCCACCCGCCATTGACGAAGAACTCGTACGGGTCATCCTGGATCGTACGGAGGATCTGGTTCCACTGCAGGTTCACCGGCCCCTCTGACACGAGGATATCCACCGAGTCCAGCCACTCCTTCACATTGTCCAACGCCTGCGTAGGGATCGAGTTGATGTGCAGTGGCGGTTTGGCAAAGTCCTTGAAGACGAAGACGAGGTCGAAGTTTTTGAGCCCGTACTGCACGCGCTCCAGATGCGCGATTTCCACCTCGCTGAGCGTCACGACGGTAAACGGCGAGTCGGTCAAGTGGACCAGGCAGTCGCTCGTCGGTGCGAGCCACACGTTGGTGCGGAAGGGAACGCCGTCGAACCCTAGCTCGCGATAGGGCGTGTCCACGGTCAGATCGTCGGCGGCCTCGGCCACCGCCTCGGCGAATCGCTTGAACTCCTTGTTGAGCTGAACGCGGCGACGACGCTCTTCCTGCTCGAGCTCCAGCTCGTCCTCGTCCCCCGCTCGATATTTGCGCTTACGGTTGCCCGTCTCGTCGAACTGGACGTCGCTCGCCTCGCGGTAGAACTGGATGTCCTTCGTCTTCTTCTTGCCGATGATGATCGGAGCCTTGAGGTGGAAGTGCACGATGACGATCAGCTCCTTGTCGCAGGGCTGGAAGAACATGTGCTTGACATTGTTGAAGAGGACGTCAATCTTCTGGTCCTTGAGCGGGCTCGCGAATCGCAGACCGTTTTGGTGGATCTCCAAGTCACCGGGCACGCGCTTCCCCTCGAGGGCTGGGCGGGGAAAGACTTCGCGGAGAGAAGTGACGCGACCCTTGGTGACGATGAGTTTGTCCTGCTCTACCACGTCGGAGAGCTCCTTCTTTTCGGCCTCGCGCTTCGCGGCCTGCTTCTTCAGCTCGGTAATGTCCTTGAAGAGCTCGGCAAAGTGGTACGTGTCCGAAGAGCGGAACGTCATGGAACGCACAAAGGTGGCGTCCGGGTCTTCGAAGGGAGTGTCGTCCTTGCGGCCTGCGATCTGGCCGGGCGAGATGAAGTTGAAGCGACTGCGGCGCGCGTGTGCGTGCGCGGGGGCAAGCAAGGAGGAAGGTCAGCTTAGCGGCCGCAACAACGTGCTACGTCACGCAGCGCGCACTCACAGATACGTAAACTCGCCCTCCTCATTCTTGCTGACATTCTTGAGCGTGTTGATGTGGAAGGGAACCGCGAAGCCGTAGATGGGCAGGATGATCGAGCTGTTGCGCACGTCGACCATTACCTTGAGGTCTTGCGCCTTCGTTGGAATGAGCTCGGCGCGCTTGTACGACTCAAACTTCTTGAAGCTGCGCGTGCGTGTCGCGAACACAGTCATGGGTCAGTCACTCCTGGCGATGGTGCGCTGCCTTTCGCCGCACACGCGACTCACGTCTTGCCCTTGTCATGTCCTCCCTCCCCTTCCTCATCCGCATATTTCCTCAACCCCTCCTCCTGCTTCCCCACGGCCAACTCCTGCTGATGCTCCCTAATCTTATTCGCGACATTCGCATCCATCTGGTTCTGGCTCTTATTCCTCAACACCTTGCCGCCAGCAGTCACATTCTTCTTGGGGCTGTTGCGCTCCTCCACCTCTTCCTCCTCGTCCTCCTTGTCCTGGTAGAAGAACTGCTCACTCGCATTCTTGACGCGATCCGTGAGGAACTGGGCGGGTGCGCCGTCGTCTTCGCCGAGTCGCAGCGTGTCGATGAGGAGGAGAGAGTAGGTCGAGCCCTTGTGGTTCGGGTCGTCGAGGCCGCTGAATCCGAGAGAGAGGGACACGGTCATGCTTGCTTGAAGGGGAAGGTTGCACTTGTTGCCCAGCACGTAGGCCGCGTCCCTGAACTCGAGCCCGATGGCAAAGCCCGCATTTTTGACAAAGTGCTCTGCGAGGTCTGGTTTGCGACTCGACACGTACTCTCGCGCCGCGGCATAGATCTCTTTGCCCGTCTTGCCCGGTCGGAGGTGCTTCTCCACTATCTCGCCCTGGAGCTCCCACAAAAATGTAAATGCCTTCTGCTGGCTCTTGTGCGGGTCCACGAGCCACGTCCTGCCAATATTGGCGTTGTAGCTGCGGTACTTCATTCCCATAGACGCCACCACCACGCCTCCCCCTTCGGCGGCCTCGATGCGTTTGTTAGTGGAAAGCGCAGAGGGGCGTAGGTCGTACTCTCCGCCACTCTGGATGATGGGAGTATAGGCCCAGTCCGCAAGACTCATATCCGCTTCGCTGAGTGACCCTTTTGCCTTCTTCCAGAACTTGTCGTCATCCAGGACCCCCTCGAGTCGAGCTGCGAGCTTCTCGTGCGTGACCTTCTTGCCTCCATCGAGGATATCGCTGATCTCATCGACGAACTTTGTGCTCATGACGCGCGAGGTGAGTTTGGCTGCCATGCGGAGGTGAGCCAGCTCTGCGTCGTCCTTGGGACCCCAGATGACGCCCATGGCTGGTCCCACGTCCTGCTCTTGGAATCCTTCCTTTGCCTTTACCTCGTCAAAGGCGGATCGCCACTCGTCTGCCATCTTTCCTTGCGACTCGTCCTTGGCAAACACGCCGATGGACTTGCCTGAGCTGCTGAGCGCGGCGATGACGTCTTGCCACACCTTTTTGTTGGCGGCATCGTCTTTGCTGCGCTTGAGGACCGAGACTTTGAGGCCGCCGGCGCCGTCCAACGATTCGAGGTATTTGGCTGAGCGTATGGCGGGAGGGGAGAAAGACGATGTGAGTTGACGAAGAGCGAGGTCACATCGCGCGGGCACCTACCCTTGTTGGCGCTGCATACAAAGGTAATGCCTTCGCGCGTGATGAGCATCATAGTAGAGGGGAACTCGTAGCCCAGCAGCCAGATCTGTGCGGGTGCCATGCAACATGTCAGCATAAAGCCGCCCGCATGAGCCCCTCAGCGCCTCTGCTCACATGCAGGCTGGCCGTCTTCTGGTAATTGATCTCATCGGATTGCCCACCAAGCAAGATGAGCATCGAATCGACACTGCGCAGAGCACCCAATGCCTCATTGGAGGCATCCTCGTCTTTTGCCTTCCACGCGCTGATGATCTTGTTGAGTCTTGACCCAAAGAGGGCCTTGTCAATCTTAACCTCGTCTGCCATGATGGCGTGGCAGGAGGGTGAGGGTGAGGGCGAGGGCAGGCGGTGGTGGTGATGAGGAGAAGGAAAGAGACGTCGATGCGCCTGCCATCCATCCGCCCGTCCGCCTATTCGACGTCAAGGGCGTGCCTGCCTCCCGTCTTGCGTGGATCGCGTCGAGGAAGTGGCGCGCCGCCCCGCCTGACGAGACGGAGACCAAGTCGAGCCTTGGCTGGCTCAGCCCACCTGCCCGCCTCTGAACGCGACTCCAACACGACGGACGGACAGACAGACGGACAGACAGAGCGGGAAGGAGGGCAGCGGCCAAGCTGAGCATCTTTGATTCCCATCCACATCCACATCACGCATCGCCACCGCAATGCCACCCACCACGCCCCGTGCAGTGGACACATCCGACCCTACCTTTTCCCCTCAAGCACTGCGCATCGTTGACCTACGCGCCTTGCTCTCGGGTCATGGCGTCGTCCTCCCCTCTTCGGCACGAAAGGCTGATCTAGTCGAGGCAGTCGAGGAGCATATAATGACACCCCAGCGTATGCGGGCGAGGCGTGGCGATGGAGCAAAGATCAAGGCGGATGAGCAGGAGGAAGACGATAGCGAAGAAATGGCCAATTTTTCGCACGAGAACCCTTTTCAGGCTTCACCCAGCTTGCACAAGGGGAAGCGACAGCAGCAGCAGCAGCAAGGGCCGAGGAAGAGCGTCCCCACCGCTTCGACTTCGCGACCTTCTTCCAGCTCAGGCGGTGCAGCGGGTCAGCAGAGGCGCAAGACGATGGATCCTTCAGCCATGGCGGCGAGAAAGCCATCCACATCCACGTCCAACGGGATCGCGCGCAGCTCCTCCTCTTCATCGAAGCGCGCACCATCCTCCTCCTCGTTCAAGGCCAAATCGGCAGCATTCGACTCTTCTCCACCCCACTCCCCCTCATATACCTCCTACGTTGACCCCTCCATCGCAGCGGGCGGCTCACCCGAAGGATGGTCCTCTCCCACCGAGGAGAAAGAAAGAGCTCCCCTCGACACGCGCAAGCCTGCGCACGCACAGCGCTCCTCTCCTCTGCTCGCCTCGAGAAGGAAGAGTGCCCGCAAGCTAAGCATCACCCGCCCGCATCCGCCAAGGGACGCAGTGGCCATCATCGCCACCATTGCACGATACGTTGTCGCCCTTCTAATGGCTGTATGGTACCTTTGGTATGCGAAGGAAAGCCACGCGATAGGCTACTGTGACACTGGCACGAGCACGCACACAAATTCATACCTCAACCAGCAAGCAGCGCAACGTCAATTGCGCAAATCCTCAGACGATCAGACCCTTGTGGACCTTGTGGTTCCCTCCTTCCTCCAACCAGGCTGCACTCCCTGCCCCGCGCACGCACACTGCTCCAGCGGTGCGCTACTTGGCTGCGAATCAGACGAATATGTGCTTCGCCCTGCGCTCCTCTCCCACCTTCCTGGAGTGGCGAGACGGAGCGTCCCGCATGGGTGGCAGGCGAGCAGCTGTAGGACGGACAGTCGACGCCTCGAGCTGATAGATGAGTTGGCGGATGAGATCTTCCGGCGAGTGGCGGGGCATGTAGGTGGGGTCATCTGCGGTCGCGCGAAACCGTCGGCGAAGCTGCTCAAGTATACTTTTGGCACGAAGAATGCCGCCGCCGCAGGGCCGGAGTGGCGTCGCGCCTTGCTGGCTAGCGATTTGCGAGCCCAGCTGCGGGAAGCAACGAGGGGTAACGAGGGGATAAGCGACGAGTACTTTGCCCATCTGTGGAGTGCAGCATTGCAGGAGTTGGAGGATGAGCATCCCGCGAGCGGCCGCGACTCCGTTTGGCAATCACTCCTCATCGAGAACGGGGAGAATCAGGATCAGGAACGACTCCTCCTCGTCTCCCTCTCCGCAGCGCGCATCCCCTTCACCTGCAGGCTACGCCTCTCCTTCTCCTCCTTCTTGCGTCGCATCTCCGGGCCAGTAGGTCTCCTCTCCCTCCTCCTCGGAACAGCAGCATGGCTACGCAGCCGTTTCCGTCGGTCGCGCAGTGAGGCCCGGCTGGTCGAGGGTCTAGTGGAAGAGGTGACGACGAGGCTGGCGCAACAGGCCCTCGAAAGTGCTTTGGCCGATTCCTCCATTGGTCTTGAAGAGGTGCCCCCTTACTTGCCTGTTCATCAGCTGCGCGACTCGCTACTTTCCTCCTACAAGAGGGAGTTGGGCAGGGGGAGAGGTCGCGTGGTATGGACCGCGGTGACGAGGCGAGTGGAGGCGAACAGTAATGTTCGGACTGGGATGAAGAGGTGGAAGGGAGAGTGGATGCGCGTTTGGGAGTGGGTGGGGGTTGTGGGGGGCTCGGGCTCGGGCGCGGGTGCGGGAAGTAGGCCTTCCACGCCTAGGGCTAGTAGGCCGGGGAGTGTGAAGGGTATTCAGAGTGGGGAGGAGGTGCTGCAGCAGCAGCATGACGGGGAGGGGCAAGCTGTTGCAGAGGGTGCTGTGGAGAAGGGTGAGTCTGGTGAGCAGCCAGAGATGCAAGAGAAGGTGGAAGGCAAGGCGTACTTGTGATGTAGCTTCAGGGCGACGTGGGCTGGGTTGTCTCGAATTATCATTCGCCTATCCATCGCTATCGCTATCGCTGGCGCCCCTTAGTAGCCTCAGAAGAAGTAGCACGTGTATAACAACGATGGTATTGATCGAGAGGAATGTGAATATGTATCTGGCACGCAGGGCGCGATTACGCCAGACGACGCCTCGATGTAGAGGCTACGCCATCCCCTCCGCGTGTTGGTCTGCTGCCACCTCGACCCAGTCGTTGCGCTTGACGCTGTTGCTGCTGCTGTTGTTGCTGCTGCGGAACGCGAGGCTGCTGACGTTGCGGGCGTGTATCGTACTCATCTTCATCGTCCTCCTCCTCATCATCATAGACGTCCCGCTCGTCCCGCGCCAAACTGGTGCGAGGACGCTTTAGCGGGGCTGCCGCTGATGCGGCTGCCAGCCTGGAGGAGGACGACGACGCTGACGCGCGAGCAGTCGCAGAGGGGAGCGATGTGCGTGAAACCCCGCCAGCACTGCGACGACGCTGTGGAGGAGCTGGCTGCTCGTAAAGATCGTCCTCCTCGTCCTCTGCTTCCTGCCCCTCCTCGTCCTCCCACCCACTTCCCCGCTCCATCAGCGGCGCAAGCACGCTACCACCCACCACCTCCTCGCCCTCCCCACTGCTCTCACTCGCCCCCTCGCCAACCCCAAGACCAACCCCACCGCCCTTCCTCCTAACGACACTCCTCTCCAAGACCCCCAAAAATCGCTCCGCCTCCCTCAAATTGCCCCCCGCCTCTCTCACAAAATCCACAACAGTCATCCGGTCCACGCCATACTCGCTGGCCAGCCCAACAAAGTGTCTTTCCAGCTTAGCACGGGCGCGTTTAAGTTCGCCGGCAAAGGGAGCGAGGAAAGGCTGGAGTTGGTGGGTGTGGGCGAATCCGAAGTCTTTTGCTAAGAGGAGAAGGGAGGTAGTGTAGCGCGCTTTGGCTAGTTGGAGGTCCACCGAGGTGGTGTTGGGATTGTGCGACGTTGAAGTGGAAGCGTCCGGGCGATGAGGCGGGCGAGATGAACGCGAGGAGCGGTCCCGGTCCCGGTCCCGATCGATCCCGGTGCGGGAGCGTGATGTGTCGCCACCAACGGCGCCGAGGTGAGAAGGAGGGTAGGAGCGTTCCCTCCCCGCACTTCGTTGCAGCTCATCCCCATACGCCGAGCGTGAGGCGCTCGCCCTCCTCTGAACCGATACGGGCAAGGCTTCGTGGCCACTCCGGCTACCACCAGACGAGACGCGACGCATCCCAGTCGCACCTCCACCGCTGCCACTGCCAGTGCGACCAGCCTGGCGCGAAGATGATGGGACAATGATGTTGGTCGAGCCTTCCCGGCTGGGATGACGTGCAGAGGGAGGGAGGTGGCTTTGCCCCCGCGGCGTGCGACGCATTGCCATTGCACCGCCGAGGTCGTGTGCGGGCGCAGGCCCGGTGGGGAGTCTCGACGTGCCAGAGTGGGGACGACGACGGATGGCTTGTCGTGCTTCTATCTCCTGCATCTCATCTTCTTCCTCTTCGTACCTTTCCTCTTCCTCTCCCTCCTCGCCAAGGTCATATCCACGCTGCCTCTCCTTCTCCCTGTGACGCTCCACCAGGCGCGCTTGTCGCTCATCCTCCTCTTCTGCACGTGCCAAAGCTTGCGCTTCGAAGTCGTCGTCCTCCGGGGGAGCCTGGTCACCATTTTCCAGCGGATCCACGAGATGGTCGTCTTCGTCGCGGGAAAAGTCGTGGAATGCGATATTCTGGTGGCTGGGGATGCGCGGTGTGCCCGCAGCGGCTGCGTTTGCGGCTGAGGTACGAGCAGCTTGCGCGTGCGGCGTGTTGCGTTTCGTCGAAGCGGGAGCGGCGACGGCAGGGAGGGCGGGCATCTCTGCCCCTCCACCCATACTACCATCCATGGCGTTGGGCGTCTTAGTGCGCTTACGAGGAGGCGGTGTGCTAGCCACCGGTCGTGATGGGGGAACCCCAACGACATTGCTCCTGCTGGCGCTGGCGCTGGCGCTGGCGCTGGCGCTGGGCTCTTCATTCGCCTCCTCCTGCTCCTCCTGCTCCCGCGCAGCAGCCTCATCCTTCAATTCTTTGAGCGTGACCTTATCGCCGAATTTTTTCTTCATGAAGGCGTGAGACAGCTGTGCCTTGGACATGGTGACTTCCGTTTGAGAGCGACGTGGTGAAGGCTGCGTGGGCTGTGCTTGAGGTTCGATGGGCGGGACTGCTGCTGCTGCTGCTACTGCTTCCTGCTCTTGCCTCTGCTCGTCGTCAATTGGGAAGTCGGCTGGCGGCTCGTCGATTGGAGGCGGGGAATGAATGGGAGGTGGTGATGCTTCGCGTTGAGGTTGCTGCTGCTCTTGCCGCTGCTGCTGCGAAGAGCGTCGGGTGTGTTGCGTCTCCCTATGTGAGCTGGCCTGCGGAGGTGGCGTAGACTCGACCGCGAGCGTACGCGAGCCGGGCACCGTCTTGGCTACCCCCGCGCCACCGCTGCTCCTTTTCTCCCTCTGTTGCACATGCGACTGCACCTCTTCGCTGGGTGAAGCGCGATCGTATCCTTGCTCTTGCAAGCTCTCCCCCTCCTCCATTCGTTCCTTCATCGCGGCCTTGGCCGAGTGATGCTGCGCGCGCTGATCCGCATCTGCACCGAGGGCCGCTTCAACGTCGGCTGAGTCATCCTCCTCTCCTTGAACGGCTTCCGCCTCGTTGTCGGACACGATCTCGTCTTGCTCCTCGGCGGCCTCCTCGTCTTCATCGTCGGACATGTCCTGCTCAAATGCAGCGAGGGCGTCGTCGAGCATTCCCTGAACCTCGGCCGGTATCGCACCTGCGGGCAGCGAGACCACCGACGTCTCTGCAGTCGGAACTGCTGCGAGGTCGCCGATACCGTTCTGCTCCCCGCCCACGATAATGCCGTCCTCTTGCTCACCTCCCACTGCTGGCTCGTCCTCGTTCTCTCCATCCGCGTACTCCCCGAGCACAAGGCGCACAAGTGCTGCCTCCATGTACGCCCACAGATTCTTGGCGATATGCTCCGCGAGGAGCTTCTGCCTCTCCTCGCTCGCGTCAGGCTCTAGCTTTTCAGCGGTGCGCATGGATCCCTCTTCCTGCTCGTGTACGTACGTACAGACCTCGAGGAGCTTCTTCTGGTCGTCCATGCCCGTCGGCGGCTCGCCCTTAACGGAGAGGTGCTTGATAAAGCGGAGATGCTTGTGTTTGGCGAGGACAGGCGCCTCGTTATAGAAGCCATCGATGATGGTCTCGATGTCGTCCATGAGAAGATCGATCAGATGGTCCTTGAGCTCCTGCGAGATCTTTGTCGCCGTGGAGGCGCCCACCCCGTCTGGCCAGCCGTCCACGGGCCTGCTCTCTTCCCGCACGCCGGCGGCGCGACGCATCGCTTCCTCCTGTACTGCTGCCCGCCTCTCTTCCACCATCTCGTCTACCCGGTCGACGATGCCATGCGGACGGTAGCCTAGCACGCTCCTATTGGTTGGCGGGTGCGTTGGTGGCTGTACGCGACGAGCCGTGCCTCCCGCAGGTGCGCCTGAGCTCGAGACGATCGGATCATCCTCGTCCTCGCCTTCAAAGCCGTCTGCGTCGTCGTGCTGAGCGCGCGGCGCGACCTTCCTCGACGAAGGCGATGCAGCTGCTCCTGACGTGGATGGTTCTCCCTCTGGGATGTTGAACGCCTCTCCGACGTATTGATTCTCTCCAATCTTGAGCCTCGCCGGCAGTTTGATAGGATTGACGCCCGTCTGCTTATACTCGTCCAACTTGGCCATCAGGTTGACACCTCTCGCCATGTTGTCACGGAGCCACGAGACCCAGGAACCGGGAGTATGTCTGCCATGCTTAGCCGTGAGCACCTCGGCGATCTTACGCCCACCAAATGCGTGCGGCGTGATCATGAGCTCCTCGAGGGCATTGTAGCGATCCACGACGGTGTAGGGTTGTTTGCCCGGTCGGTTGACGGGTTGGTACATGACTCCCAGAGAAGGATTCTTGGATGCCTCGGTACGCATCAGCTGCGCCATGCGACGGTCCGAGAGTTCTTGAGCTTCGCGCTGTCGCTTGATGCGTTGCTCCATTTCGTCGAGCTGCGTGATCGGTGAGTAGGCTGGGTTGCTTGTGTTCTGCACGAGGGAGGCCTTGACCGAGTCTGTGACCCCTGTATACAAGTAGCGCGAGGGAATAGAATCGTTCAGTGTCTGCATATATCGAGCTCTTGCCTCGGGCTTTTGCTCACAATTTGGTCCCACGCAGGGCAGAGGTGTGGGTAGATTGTGGACAGAGCGAAAGAGCTCTCGTGCCTGATCTGACATGGATGCCGTCTCGGTATCGATGACGACGATGTCTGCCTTGGCGAATCGATCTGCGACTTTGCCGCCATGACGACGGATGGACGAGACGTACTTTGGGCGATCAGGAAGGCGCAGTGGCAGGTGGATGGCCAAGGAACGATCTGCAGTCGGATGCCAGAAGATCCTGGCTCTGCCAGCGTCCGGAGCATCTGAGTCCGAATGATGACTCGGCACTGCCATGATGGGCAGGCCAGGACGCTACCAGCGCGAGATGATGATGATGATGATGATGATGTGGTTGAGTTGGGAAGTTGAGAAAGTTGAGTGGCAGCGAGCGAGTCCTACTTCCGTGATCCTCTTGGCCGCGTCGCGTTCAGTCTCGCAGCTCGACGGAGAGAGTGCGAGGGCAATCCAATCCAATCTCGCAGGCCATGCGGCCGCCGCCCGGCTCTCTGAGCTGCCTCTGGCTCTGGCAGGGCGCCTGCCGTTGAGACCCAAGTGCCGCCTGCCCGCCCCCTCCCGCCCTGGCCCTCCCTCGTCGTCGTCGACTCTTGTCAACTCGGATGGCTCGTGCTTGCCTTTGGGTCGTGCTGAGGCTGAGCCCGAGCCTCCGCCCACCACGGCCCTGTCCGCCCGCCCAACCGCATCCACACTCTCATCTCCTCACCACCATCAAATCGCGATACGCTGCTGCGCCTTCGTATCAAGACTATCCTCAGCCAACCCATTACACGACAGCAGAGCTAGGCGACATGCGATCCAAGTTCAAGGACGAGCACCCTTTTGGTGAGTAGCGGTCGAGCGCAGCACACGAGGGCTCCACGTACGCCGAGGTTGTTGCTCCTCACGCAGCGCAGCGCATAGGGGGCGGTGATGAGAGTGTCACAGCGCGTGATGCGTAGTGCTTCTTCGTCTGGCTCTCATATGAGGTCATGTCGATCAGCTGCGCCACCATTGCTCCTGATTGTATTACTTGCGTATCACCCCACCCCTTACCCTTCGAGTGGCGCCATCCTCCGTTCACCCATAGCTGCGCAGCATCTGACGCAGCCGCCCCTTTTGCCCAATCTCGCCGCTCACAGAGAAGCGCAAGGCCGAAGCAGAGAGGATCCGTCAGAAGTACCCTGACAGGATTCCGGTGAGCAACATGCTGCGGCCCCTCTCAAGCTGTTGCCCGCCTGTATGCTGACCAACTCGCATCGTCGCTGTTGTCTCAGGTCATCTGCGAAAAGGCAGACCGAACGGACATCCCTACGATTGATAAGAAGAAGTACCTCGTCCCCTCGGTGAGCATGCAGAATTACAATTCCATCAGTACTTACTCCTCTGACCAGTCATCCCCACACTCTCTCTCATGTCGCGCTCCGCCAGGACCTCACCGTAGGCCAATTCGTCTATGTGATCCGCAAGCGCATCAAGCTCGCGCCCGAAAAGGCCATCTTCATCTTCGTCGACGAGGTCCTGCCCGCCACAGCTGCTCTGATGAGCGCCATCTACGAGGAGCACAAGGACGACGACGGGTTCCTCTATGTCAGCTATTCAGGGGAGAATACGTTTGGGCGCAGCGAGTAAGGGGAGGACAGGCTTCTCTTCTCTACGTCAAGCACGTCAACTCGCTCCAGTCTCCACGACGACCACGACTACCTCTCTCATGATCCGACTTCGACCTCGACCTTGTCTTGATCCCGATGGCAGCCTTGTACTCATACGAATTCGCGATGGCAGCGATCAGCATGCGCGAGGAGAGCAGTGATGGAGGGCAACGACGTCCGAACAATATGTTGCCCCTAATGCTCCCCGCCATCTAGCTTGGCAAGGGCTCAACGGGCTGGAGTAGCCGCCTGCCCGAACTCGTCGACGTCCTCGTGTATGCTACCCGTCGTCTCATCACCATCGCGCGCGCGCCCGCTCTCTCGCTCTCCTCTCAATATCACGCCTTGATCGCTCGATCGTTCGCTGCGACTGTGAAGTCTATTCTGTCTATTTGCTTCCAATCATCACGCCCGTCTCACGGCCTCTCCTCCCCCTGAATAGTCACCATCAACTTGAGCATCTTCCCCCCATCCTCCCCCTCCCTCTCAACCCACTCAGCCCTCACGAAGCTCAGATCCTCGCAAACGAAATCCGCTCCAGCATCCCACATCCTCCTCTTATCGTGTGTAGTCCCCAACCCAAGCACACGACACCCAGCAGCCTTCCCCGCCCTCACCCCAGGCGGGGCGTCCTCCACCACCAAGCAGCGGTGGGGATCAACGCCCGAAAGCTCTGCGCCCAGCAGGTACGGGTCAGGGGCGGGCTTCCCCCGTGAAACGAGGTCGCTGGTCACAAAGACGGTAGGAGGGGAAGGCGAGGCACCCGATGCCGCAAACCCTACGGAGGCGTAGGCGCGCGTGGCTGAGGTGACTATTGCCCAGCCGGGCTTGCGAAGCGGGTATGAAGGGTGCGGGACTGAGGTGATCTGAGCGCGCCCGTGCAAGGAGGGGGAGAAGGAGCAGAAGGAGTTTGGGTGGGGGGGGGGGGGGGGGG